ACTTGTCTCTGATCTGTGCTGTGTCTACTCAGCATGAGTGGGGCAAAGTAGGACCTGCCAACTCTGCTCTATTGAGCCCTCTCCTGTCGCTAGCCACTGAATGGCTAAGTGGACCCAGTGCTGAAGTTCATTTATCTCTTGGGCTGAGTCAAACTTTCTAATTTATTGTGTAATAATGATGACTTTTCTCTTGAATTTACTGCTTAGAATTAAATTTGGAAGGTGCCAAGACTCATTAGGAGCACCAGCATAACACAGGTATACGTATTTGTAACACCTGTTTTCCACAGATTTATAAAATGACCCAGAGAAACATTTTTTTTTTTCCTCTTGTGCAGTACGGAAGTGTTCCTTGTTGTGACTAGCCTATGATGAAATACATACCCAAAATATTGAAACGCAGCATGAAAGAGTTTTACAAACCTATCAGAATATGTACTTTGGCATTGAGTGCATTTCCTTGGAACCTATTTATTGACCAGACCATCATTTGCTTAGCCAAGTAAATTCAATAACAGACAGTTACTTTTTAAAAAACAATAAATCAATCTTTTAAAAAAATATTTTTGTGACAGCATTGAAGAATTAGGTTTTTAAGATTTGTTAACTTTCAGTGACCTTTGTATCAAATATGTGAGTCACTATTAATGTATATAAATTTTGGCTATTTATAATCTTAAGATATCATTAGGTATAAGGACAACTAAACTGGCTAATCCTCTTTCATAGAAATTGAAAATCATCTATAGGATCAGCCGGCGCCGCTGCTCAATAGGCTAATCCTCCGCCTAGCAGCGCTGGCACATAGGGTTCTAGTCCCAGTCGGGGCGCCGGATTCTGTCCCAGTTGCCCCTCTTCCAGGCCAGCTCTCTGCTGTGGCCTGGGAGTACAATGAAGGATGGCCCAAGTGCTTGGGCCCTGCACCCGAATGGGAGACCAGGAGAAGCACCTGGCTCCTGGCTTGGGATCAGCGTGGTGCGCCAGCTGCAACGCGCCGGCTGTGGCGGCCATTGGAGGGTGAACCAACGGCAAAGGAAGACCTTTCTGTCTCTGTCTCTCTCTCTCTCACTGTTCACTCTGCCTGTCCAAAAAAAAAAAAAAAAAAAGGAAAAGAAAATCATCTACATTTCAAGAATTTGGACAAGCAATTAAGTCTCTGACTAAGATATCCACAGCCCGTATCAGAGTACCTGGGTTGGTGTCTCAGTTTTGGCTTCCAATTCCAGCTTCCTGTTAGTGCAGACCTTCAGAAACAGTTGATGGTTTGACAAGTAGTAGAGTCCCAGCTGCCTGTGTGGGAGGCCTATACAAATTCTCATTTCCTGGTATTGTGCTAGCACAGCCTAGGCTTTGCAGGCATTTGGGTAGTGAACCAGTGAAGCAGATGAAGGATCAGGTGCTTGAGCACCTGCCACCCATGTGGGAAAAGTGGATGGAAAAGTGGATGGAACTCTGGGTTCCTGGCCTCAACCTGCACCAGCCCTTGCTGCTACAGGCATCAGTGGACTAGCAAATGAAAAATCTCCTTGTCTCTTTCTATGTTTCTGTGCCTTTAAAGTAGATATATAATCATATAAACATTTTGGAATGCCATGTTGACATTAAAAAATTAAAAAACACTATTTGAAAGAAAATAAATGACAACCACTGAGGGGAAAAATACATCTTCCAATACAAATATCTTGAACAACAGGCACATCAAGAATATTAGTGCATTTAAACTTTTTTAAGGTTTTATTATCTTTATTTCCTTATTCCTTTTCCTCTGATTATCCTTATTGCCTAAAACAAAGACATAATGTATTTCATAATTGAAGAGTTTTATTTTAATGTTTAAAAAGGAGTACCTATCAATAAATGCCAGGAAAAGTTACAAATGGTGTTGCCTTTGATGCATATTGAGCTATTTTTGTAAAACATGAAGGAAAAAATGCAATGAGCACTACATAAAATTTCAAGGTATAGAAAACAAAGCTGCTTATTAAATATAAATTTGACAATTAGCTAAATTAAAGAATTACTTCAGTAATTAACAGTGAAGAAAACTTACATAAAGCAGTAGAAAAATTAATCTGAAGAAAAATAAAAAGTTTCATAATTACAAATATTTAATATCAGAAATGCAAGGATGATTTAATTTGGGGAAAATATTTCACCAACATTACCACCATCAATAATATAAAAATTTTAGTGAATGCTTAGGAATAGTTAATAATATTTATTACCCACATCTGATAAGAAAAGTGATTAAAACAAATACAAATACAATTTGTAATATTTGAATTTGCTTAGTATGATAAGGACAATTTTAAATAAAATTCATATGTTGTGTAGTTATGTTAACTAAAATTAATAATAAAACAACATGTTATTAGTAATTATTAATGTTAATAAATTATTAGTAGTATTTTAAATTTCTAGCCAGTGAATTGAGAAAGAGAATTCTCATGTATCTGTGGTTTTATTTTTTTATAGATAGGTCCTGCCTATACTCAAAAAACATATTATTTCTGAACTTTGATTCATACTTTTTTAGTGAAGGAGCATCGATTAAGAAAGTTGTTGACCTCACATAGAATTTAAATATTAGGTTTAATGTATAATGTCACATATTTGTAAGGCATTACATATTGCATAATTAAATGACATATCATGACATACAATGTGTTATTCTATTTTATGTTTAAGAAGTCATTTCATTTCAACAATTAATTTTTAAGCTATAGTAAAATTCTACAATATTAAATATGGCTTATAGCAAATATACAAACGTAATTATATATTTTTCTTTAAAAGAAATTCAAAACTAATTGATCTATATTTTAAAACACATTGGAAATGACTATTATAGCTGAAAAATATCTACTACATAGTCTAGAATTAAAGATATTACTCAAAGTGGTCTTCAATGCCAAAATAATACGAAGTTAATATGCTACTTAGTATATGTGATAAATAACATGTAATACTAATCATTTAAAAGAAAATTCTTGGTTTCAAAATTTAATGAAATATACCTCAACATTCATTAATATATGCATTCATTGAATTCTAACTAAAAATGAAAAGCTTTATTCTACCAGCTAGAAATAAATTCCCATATGCTTAATATCATTCTTATAAAATGTTCTTGGAGTGTGATGTAGGTGTATTTTGTGCTTTTGAAGTCCTAGAGAGTGGCTAAGGCATCCCATTTTGAATTTTTGATTTATACAGCGAAAATATTTTGTATAAAGTTTTGGGGGGTTCTGATGTGCTCATGTAGTGTTCAGTTTCACAACATAGAAGAGAAAACACTTCATTATAAAGGGCATCCACCTTCCTACACTTTTTTACAATACCAATAAATTTGTGGTTGGTTAAATAAAACAATGTTTTCATGATTTATTATAATAAAAATACATCTCATGTTACTTGACATTTTTCTTTTTCTCCAGGAATTAACATAAAACAATATTGTATCAAATGACAGATGTTTTTAGAGCTGGGAGCAAATTATATCAGAAGACTTGGATGATGTTTACAAAGATGTTGCTTTGCCTATAAATCTCTCCTAAACATTTAAGTCTTTTAAAATAATAAAAGAATTGGGAAAAAACTAGAGATATAAAATTAGTAACACTTTTAGTATTGTACATAATCTTTCAACTGACAAACCTATAAATACTGCTTGATTCTTCCGGTGAATGAATGGATGCATAATAGTACACAGTCATAGCTTCCATAGACTGCCATGTTGAGATACTTACTATGAGACAGCTCAGGAAGAACACAAAGGCAATCGGCTGAACATGTTTCATAACACATAAGGAGTGAATATGTGCACACACATGCTTATTGTGTCTTATTACTAAAACATATATGCAGGGGCAGGCATTGTGATGCATTGTGTCACTTGGGACACCTGCATTCTATATCTGAGTGCCTGAAGCCAGCACGCCCCTCCTCTTCCAATTCAGTTTCCTGCTAATGAACCTAGGAAGCAGTAAACACTAACCCATGCATTCAGGTTCCTACTACCCACATGGAAGACACAGTTGGAATTCCTGGCTCCTGAGTTCAACTTGACCCAGCCCTGGATGTTGCAGCCATGTAAGGAGTAAAGCCCATGGAAAGAAGATCTCTTTCTCTCTCCTTTCACTCTGCCCCCTCCCTTTCTCTCTCTCTATATCCTCTCACTCTGTCTATCCCTCTCCCTCTGTCACTATGCCTTTCAAATAAATAAAAAATATATACCTATTTTAAGTGGGCTTGCTTTACAATCACCTACATACATGAAAGAGCATCCGCACCCACAACTTGGAGACATGGATAAAGGGGCATGGATTGGGTGTGTAGTGAGGGGTGGGTGAGCTGTGTATAAAACATTAAACCTCAACAGTAAATTTACATATTGCAAGGAAATGAAAGAAACAAAGCACACAATGCCCACATTTGCATGTAAAGCAAGAACACTGTTTTGCTATTATTTATTAAAACAATGGCTGGAATTAATTCTTTTATTATTATTATTATTATTATTATTAGACAGGTAGAGTTATAGACAGTGAGAGAGAGAGAGAGAAAGAGAGAGAGAGACAGAGAGAAAGGTCTTCCTTCCATTGGTTCATCCCCCAAGTGGCTGCCATGGCCAGAGCTGCGCCTATCCAAAGCCAGGAGCCTGGTGCTTCCTCCCGGTCTCCCACGCGGGTACAGGGCCCAAGCACTTGGGCCATCCTCCTTTTCCCTCTCGGGCCACAGCAGAGAGCTGAACTGGAAAAGGAGAAACCGGGACTAGAACCCAGCGCCCATATGGGATGCCAGCGCTGCAGGCAGAGGATTAGCCAAGTGAGCCAAGGCGCTGGCCCCTGGAATTAATTCTTGAAACAAACTTCAGGAAAGAAGAATTAATAATGTTTCCACTTGAAATATAAATACTCCAACATTTATAGCAATTAGCTCATTCATATTAGGGAAGCAGTATATCTGAGTTTTAAACCCACTTTTACCCCAAAACTTACTGAATCAGTACATTGCTCTGCATCAGTTTTCTTATTGTGAGTTTTTAGGGTGTGTGTGACTTCCGGGATCTTCACAGTGACCTAGGAAATGTTGTCATTGATTATCAGTAAGTCCCTTTTGAAAAATCAGATAGATAGATTTAGAAACATAAGAAATGTAAATATAAATATAAGAAATTTAACCCATTGTTTTTGGTAGTGTGGGGAGCAACCCGGACTGGACTGAGTTACTGGAATTAAGACTTATTCTATGCATCTGCTCTCCCACAATATGGTGCTGGGAGAGGAGAAAACAGCTTCTACGCAGCTGCCTCTTGCCAACTTGAGTGCTGACCTCCAGGAGCTGATCCTGCTCCTGATTGGAGGAGAGCAGCGTACTCGGCATGTGGGTAGCAGAGTTGGGATTGGCGGAAGAGGACTATAAGGGAGGAGAGAGACAGCATGCACCAGGAACATCTAAGGGGAACATCTGAAGGAACACCTGTGCAGCCCCCAAGAGAGCCGGCTGGCGGTGTGCCGCTCCCCCGTGGAAGTGGGGAATGTGGCAGGGGGAACCGCCCTTCCACGGAGGTGTAAGGGTCCGTAGCCAACCTGGGAAGAACCAGCAGCAAACCCGGGGAGGGCCGAGCAGACGAAAGAACAGCGCAGGGTCCTGTGTCGTTCCTCCACGAAGAGGGGGAGCGACAGGAAGAATACTATATGCTTCACCAACAAGCAAATTCTCATGTTGTATAAAATACATTAAATTTACTCTGATATGGAAGTCATTTCAAAAACATGGACTCAATCTAAGTGGAATTATTGAAGTGGGTCCCCATTGGAAGATGGTAACAACCAAAACCATCTGACACTTTTCTACTGTAACTCATTTTTCTAAGCTTTCTTTTTATTTTAAAATTTCACTGTAGCTGACATGCGCTTGCTGTCAAGTAATACAAAAGCACATTTTTTAAATTGTATAATGTAGGCATTTGTTGAGGTCAATAAAATTTCATATCCTGGGGCAAAACCTAACCTGTCCTGCATTAGACTCTTATTTGGTTTAACGGTTTGGTTTTGTTTTATAATCATGATTCTCTACAGGTTCTCTAAAGATTTTCTTTTACTTCATTTCATTTCTAAAGTTATATTTTCCTGTGAAATCATATATTAGATATTTTAGAGTGCAACAATATTTAAATATATTCCATCTTCCATATATACATGCACTTCTTCCTTTTAATTTGAAATGCAAGCACTACTGTATAATTATTATATCGTATTTGAAATTCTGTTTATCAATTATATTTACAAAAAATAATATTTTAGTATAAATAGATACAACTATTGCTTTAAAATCTATGCAGTTATTTCTTTTTACTAATAACTAAGCATATTAATACTATTTTAATAATAGGTACTGTTATTTACCCTATTTTAAAAATAACAGTCCTCCAACATTTAAATTTTTCCATCTTACTGTTATTCTAAAAGTGCTTATTGCATTTTCCTTAACTATACTATATTTGTGGGACAAAAATCAAGATAAAAAGTGAACATTAGATTGTAGTTTTTGATAATTTTTCTTCACAGAACAGATAATTCTTTATCAAAATAAAGTTAAATCAGAGATGAAAGAAAATATTTTAATGCATGCTCTTGAATATAATTTATTATTTTATTAGGTAAATTTAATATCCTTGTAACATCTTGTGTACAACTTAGGTATAATTCTGTAAATTTTATCCTATTCTATAACACACTAAAATACAACCCAATCAAAATATCATCAGTACAAGCTGGCCTTCCTTCCTACCCTTCCTTCTTTTAGTTTTTTGTAATTAATATATTAAATTATTTGCTTATTTTTGATAGTTGCAAATGAATTTCCATTCTTTTGATAAAATATATCTGGTGACCAAAATACCCTATAAAATTGAAGGAAAATATAAACTGGTATTTTTTCTAATATTAACGTTTTAAAGATATATTTATTTATTTGAGAGGCAGCATTACAGAGAGAGGGAGAGAGGGAGAGGGAGAGAGAGAGAGAGAGAGAGATATCATTCACGTGTTGGTTCACTCTGGAAATGGCCCCAATGGCCAGAGCTGGGCTGATACAAAGCCAAAAGCCAGGAGCTTCTTCCAGGTCTCCCACATGGGTGCAGGGGCCCAAGCACTTGGGACATCCTCTGCTGCTTTCCCTGGCCATTAGCAGGCAGCTGGGACTTGAACTGGTGCCTATATGGGATGCCTGCACTTCAGGCAGAGTCTTAACCTACTATGCCATAGCACCAGCCCCACCAATACATAGAGAGTGAATATATTTTGGCTTTGAATATTATTTATACATAGAGAGTGAATATGTTTTGGTTTCGAAAAGTGTGCAATCATGATTTAACTATCATTGTGTTCAATTCAATAAGATTCTCTTGAACATAGAATTTACAAGTTTTAATGAAGTATATTGCAGCTTTAGAGAATTACTTTCTTCACGTTAAGAATATTAGTTTGAATGACATGGCAGCCATAGTACAGAGAAAAGGGTGCTTTATGACAAATTGATAAGAGAATGTGCAGTAGTGACTTAAGGATGACTCAATGATTCATAGTTTAAACTCAGTGAAGGGAAGGTTAAGGTAGGGAGCATTGATATATAAAGTTTGCATGTGCTTTAGAAATCTTACTGGAACTACTGAAAATAGAACTGATTGTTAAACCGAACAGGAAAAAAAAAAAAAAGCTGTCTGGGCTGGAGATTTTGAATAGGAAGCTATTTTCAGGTACATATATGAAGTCAGAGATTCTAGCTGAGAGTCCTAGATGCTGACAGGGACTCACAGAGGGAAGTGCCACAGAGAAAAGGTTAAGAGAGCCACAGTCTAGGATGATATTATGCCTAACAGAAGAACAATAGCAAAAGCAGGCATATTTCAACAGTAGGTGAGTCTGTGTGGAACACTGGGCTAAGTCGGTTACGACTAGGAGCATGTGCTTAGCCTAACGAGTAACATGTCTGTGTCCCACATCAGAGTAGTGCAGTTTGATTCTTGCTCTGGCTCCTGAATCACCTTGCTTGCTAACGGAGACCCAGGAGGCAACAGTCATGGCTCACGTAGCAGGGTCCCTGCCACCCATGTAGGAGACTGGATTGAGTTTCCATTTCTTGACTTCCATCCAGCTCCCTCTCCACCCCCGTAGATAAAGACTGGGGCTAAAAATCCTGATCACCTTCATTTGTTGGAAACTACAGTGGTGGCATTGTGATCCTTTGGGGTATTAACTATAAAACCTGGAACGATTTGAGGAGGAAAGAAGTTGAGGGGGAAAACGTTTCCCATGAAGTTTTACTATGAAAAAAGAGTCAAGAATTAGAGTAATCTGAGAACAGGGGATAAAATGCTAGACTCTTCTTATATTGTGAAATAATTTTAGACCCAGGGAAAGATTGTAAAGGTAATACATAAGTTCCCATATATACTTTGAGAGACTTAACAAAAATGTTTCTTATGAGTGATACATGAGTAGTTTCAAAAGCTTTTGTAAGGATCCAATTGACAAGGTAAGTTAGGAAATTCATATGCTTCCTGAGGACTGTGGAGAGGAATTAATCTCTGATTAACGGTGGGAGAAGAGAAAAGCCATGCATGCCCATGGCAGGGTTTTTGTGGATTTGGTCTGAGCATAAAGAGGCTGTCTCCAGAGGCATTCAATATTTTCAATGTAGCAGATGGAAAAATCTTATCACCTTGAAGTGCAAGGGAACCTGAGGCTACGAAAGCTCTAAAAGGATTAAACAACTTAGAACTTTTCCTTCATCAGTTACAGTGAGAATGTGTGAGAAGCAGGGAGTAGGTCAGCCTTATAGTTGGAGACCATCAATTCACCTGCCTGGATTCCTGACTTTTTGTACAATACCTCAGAGCTGCCATCCACCCACAGAAGGCAGTTTGAGGAAAATGGCCAGAGGTGAGTGTGGCTGGGCCGATACAGTGAGAGAAAATCAGGCAAAAGCAGTTTCCAGCTTTAGCAATAGAGATTTGGATCAGAAGTCAAGAAATTTAAAAGAGAAGTAGAAATGAGGAGAAAATTCTTACTGACAGAAAGAAGAAGAAATGTAACTGAACTGGAAATCCTAGAGAGGGGAATGGGTAAGGCTAGGGTCATGGACTACAAAAGGCAGACTATGGAAAATCATCGTAAACTCCCTTTCCGGACTGATTTCCGTGTGGTTTAGTCAAGCATATAAATACACATTGCAAGTTTCATTAGATTTTCTTAAATATATGCATCCATTTGAGGAAAATGATATATTTACAGTACCAAGCATTCTCAGTGGAGAGCATGTTCAATATTGCAGTTCATACAAACCTTATTTTATGTCACTTTGCAATGCCGGGTTGTTATTTGCAGTATAAATTTCAATTGTCTGCACAATTCTCATTCCTTCCTTGTTCACTGTGATGTCTCAAGAAAATTAAATGTTTAAGTCACCAAATTGATGACTGCTTCGTTAGCTATTGAGCAGAATTCAATAACAGGGGCTACATGGTCTGTCAGTAAAAAATACTTTACTCTGCTTATCTGTCTACTTGAGCCTATAATTAAATCTTATGTAGACTTTTGCTGGCATATTTACTTTTGACACTTTAAAAAGTACTATCTATTATTATGTATATATTACTGGTCTTCTGAATTTTAGTTTTCAATGTCACTTATGGATTAAGAAAAAAATACAATAGTCTAACAGAAAAGTTGTCTTTTTTTCCCTCTTGGTCAGCATATTGTGAGGCTATCAAGAAAGAAAAATTAAATAAACTTTACACATTCTAAATTTTCATGATATATAGTTGATCGCCAGCATCATCTACCAATGTTATATCTATTGTAAATCAATATTTAATGTAAGAAGCCAAGATAAGCACAGGCTAAGCAGATCAAATTTTGATTAAAATACATGTGGCTCCCATATGGGATCTTTGGATTTCTATACTATTCTTTATTCATCAGTTATGTTGAAAGGAGCCAAGAGCCGCCATAAAAAATGGCCTTAATAAAACAGTCCTGGGAAATGGGGAGTAAACTAAGTTCACAGAGAAAGC